GTGAGGATTTCACCCGGTTTCTACCTCGACTGCCAACAGGCCATCAAGCTCTACTGTCAGCCGCCTACGGACCCTGGCGCGGCTATACGACCGCCGGCCCAAAGCAAAATGGAGGTGGTGGCGTGCTTGAGCCGCAAACTCCTGGAGTTGAGTCTTCTGCCATCCACCGCCGAGAACAGCACCAGCGCCATTCCACCACGATGTATGCGTCATCTGCGCTTTGAACTGCTTTCGCGTGCGGAGTCGATCCGTCTGGATCCCGAGTTGGATGCAGCCTGTCATCCAGAATGGAAACGCTATTGCGCTCATGTAGAAAGCGGTGGGGGTGAGGTGAGTTACGTCTCTCTGTCTGTCTGCATGCTTGCTTTTGTTTATGTCTGACCAGCCCCAGGTGGCCCTATGCCTTGAGGTTATACAAATAAAAATAAGTCGACCGTCTTTTCCGGTGTTGATTTGAGCGTGAATTAGACTTACGCAGAGTACCACACTCCCTGTCTCCCTCTGTCCTCGCTTACCTGGGCCTGGTGTCATGCCAGGGTCAAAAAACCGAAGGCGGGCAGTTCTTGGTTAGTCGAAATAATAATAAAGCACGACTACTCGCTTATTTCAAGTAGTATGATGCAATGTTTGTGTATGTCTGTCCCCCTTTGACATGTCACCACACACCGCTGTCTGCGCGTGCCCCACACGCCTGACCCGCATCCAATGAACCATGATTGCAGTAATCAAGAAAGGGGTGAACAGTATGCACATATGGGTATCCTTGATACCACCGCGCTTGCCCAAGTTAGTGTCAGGCTACCTTTTTGATTGTCTGACTCTGTTCAGTAATCCCTGCAGACACAATTCGTCCCTCAATCCCTTGGTGTGATTAGCACAGGCTGTACACAGCCAGCGGAACTTATCCATAACTGCACAAAAGACCCGCTTCTATGAGTTATTAGTGCTGGCGCCTAGACGGAGGCTAGCTAGTACAATGTAATCAGGGCTTTTAGAAGTACATCAAGACCACTGGGGAATGGGACAGCACCTAGTGCCTATCTTTTTGCGGCTGGTTTCCCAAACGTGTGGACAACGTGCAAACACAGTTACCTTTTCCGCCCTATCTGACAGCAGCTATCGAGACGGACTAAATTTTCCATCCTGGGGCATCCATTGCAGTCTACTACTCTGTCGGAATTAGCTGCCTCCTTATCTACTCGTTTGTTCCTCATCTAAATCAATGTACGCATGCGTGGGCAGGCGGTTCGTCTGATTGCGTCGCTTCCGGGAATTCGTAGTTTTTCCTTTTTGGATAAGCTCCAATAATGCGAATTTTCTCCCATGCCCAGTAGAAGCATGGCTTCTGTTGGCGAATAAGAGGTTGTAGGCAGTGGCGCTAGATTTTTGCTTGCCTATTTCGGATGATGGGAGTAATATCCAGTTGTTTATGTCTGTGGCAGGTCACCCCCCGCCATAGACGTGCTTATCATAATGGAGAAGATGACGTTGAACACTGTTGGAGGTAGTACAGAACCCTTATTCACCCTATTCGTCACCGAGACTGTGTTCGAGACTGAATCAACAGTTCGATGACTGTTTCCGACCATGTCCACCGTGTACCTCACAAGAGCGTAGGCACAGGGAGGGTGACTTGTACATGAATTGGTAGCCTGACGTTACATCTACCCTACTCTCTCTTCTGCCCACGTACCTTGGTCTGGCGTTATGACAAAGGGAAGTCTCCTGGAAGCGGGTTTCGAGCATACTGGTCCACAAAGTTAAACAGCCCGACTACGCGTGCCACATGGGCCTATTCTTG